CAAAAAACCATCCCAAAAATAGATATACACACGATCAGAAACTCGGGATCACCTTGGGGACACCCCGGTGTGCCCTGGGCCACCCTGGGGACACCAGGAGGGTCCTGGGGACACCAGGATGTCCCTGTTCCCACCTTGGGGACACCGGGAGGGTCCTCGGGACACCAGGATGTCCCTGTTCCCACCTTGGGGACACCGTGAGGGCCTTGGGGACACCCCAACGTCCCTCCTTTGGGGACACCAAGGCCACCCCCATGTCCCCTGGGCCACCTCAGGGACACTGGGAGGGTCCTGGGGACACCCCTGTGTCACCTTGGAGACACCCCAATGTCCCTCTTTCGGAGACACCAAGGCCACTCCAATGTCCCCTGTGTCACCTTGGGGCACCCAAAAAAGGAAAGACAGAAAGAAAGAAAGAAAGAAACGAAAGGAAGGGAAGGAACTCGGAAGGAAGGAACTCAGAAGGAAGGAAAGAAGGAAGGAATGAATGAAGGAAGGAAGGAAAGAACTCGGAAGGAAGGAAGAAACTCGGAAGGAAGGAAGAAACTCGGAAGGAATGAAATTGGAAGAAACTCAAAACTAGAAATTCGGAAGGAAGGAAGGAAGGAAATCAGAAGGAACTCGGAAAGAACTCTGAAGGAACGAAGGAACTTGGAAGGAACTTGGAAGGAACTCGTAAGGACGGAAGGAAGGAACTCTTAAGGACGGAAGGAAGGAACTCGGAAGGAAGGAAGGAAGGAAAGAATTCGGAAGGAAGAAACTCAGAACTCGGAAGGAAGGAAGGAATTCAGAACTCGGAACTCAGAAGGAAGGAAGAAAGGAAGGAACTCGGAAGGAAGTAACTTGGAAGGAANAAGGAAGGAACTCGGAAGGAAGTAACTTGGAAGGAAGGAACTCGGAAGGAACTTGGAAGGAAGTCGGAAGGAAGGAAGGAACTCGGAAGGAAGGAACTCGGAAGGAAGTAACTTGGAAGGAAGGAACTAGGAAAGAATTCGGAACTCGGAACTCAGAACTCAGAACTTGAAAGGAAGGAAGGAAGGAAGGAAGGAAGGAAGGAAAGAAAAAAAGGAACTTGGAAGGAAGGAAGCAACTCGGAACTCAGAAGGAAGGAACTCGGAACTCGTAAGGAACTCAGAAGGAACTCGGAAGGAAGGAACTCGGAAGGAACTCGGAACACGGAACTCAGAATTTGGAAGGAAGGAAGAAAGGAAGGAAGGAAGAAAAGGAACTCGGAACTTGGAAGGAACTCGGATGGAAGGAAGGAACTCGGAACTCGGAAGGAAGGAACTCGGAAGGAACTCAGAAGGAAGGAACTCGGAAGGAACTCGGAACTCAGAAGGAAGGAACTCGGAAAGAAATCGGAACTCGAAACTCGGAACTTGGAAGGAAGAAAGGAAGAAAGGAAGGAAGGAAGGATGGAACTCGGAACTCGGAACTTGGAAGGAAGAAAGGAAGAAAGGAAGGAAGGAAGGATGGAACTCGGAAGTCGGAACTTGGAAGGAACTTGGAAGGAAGGAACTCAGAAAGAAAGAAGGAAGGAAGGATGGAACTCGGAAGGAAGGAAGGAACGCGGAGGGAAGGAAGGAACTGAGAAGGAACTCGGAAGGAATTCGGAACTAGGAACTCGGAAATCGGAACTCGGAAGGAAGAAAGGAAGGAAGGAAGGAAGGAAGGAAGGAAGGAAGGAAGGATGGAAGGAAGGAATTCAGAAGGAAGGAAGGAAGGAACTCGGAAGGAACTCGGAACTCAGAAGGAACGAAGGAACTCAGAAGGAACTCGGAAGAAAGGAAGGAACTCAGAAAAAAGGAGCTCGGAAGGAACTCGGAAGGAAGGAACTCTGAAGGAAGGAACTCGGAACTCAGAATTGGGAACTCGGAACTCGGAAGAAAGGAACTCGGAAGGAACACGGAAGGAAAGAAGGAAGGAACTCAGAACGAACTCAGAAGGAAGGAAGGAACTCAGAACTCGGAAGGAAGGAAGGAAAGAACTTGGAAGGAAGAAACTCGGAACTCGAAAGGAAGGAAGGAATTCGGAACTCGGAAGGAAGGAACTCGGATGGAAGTAACTTCGAAGGAAGGAACTCAGAAGGAACTTGGAAGGAACTCGTAAGGATGGAAGGAAGGAACTCTTAAGGACGGAAGGAAGGAACTCGGAAGGAAGGAGGGAAGGATAGAATTCGGAAGGAAGGAACTCGAAAGGAAGGAAGGAAGGAAGGAAGAAGGAACTCAGAAAGAAGGAAGGAAGAAGGAACTCGGAAGGAAGAAACTCAGAACTCGGAACTCGGAAGGAATTCGGAACTCGGAAGGAAGGAACTCGGAAGGAAGGAACTCGGAAAGAAGAAAGGAACTCGGAAGGAACTCGAAAGGAAGGAACTTGGAACTCGGAATTGGGAACTCGGAACTTGGAAGAAAGGAACTCGGAAGGAACACAGAAGGAAGGAAGGAGCTCGGAAGGAAGGAANGAAGGAACACAGAAGGAAGGAAGGAGCTCGGAAGGAAGGAAAGAAAGTCGGAAGGAAGTCAGAAGGAACTTGGAAGGAACTCGGAACTCAGAAGGAACTCAGAAGGAAGGAAGGAAGGAAGAAATTTGGAAGGAACTCATAAGGAAGGAAGGAAAAAACTCGGAAGGAAGGAACTCGGAAAGAAGGAAGGAAATTGGAAGGAACTCGGAAGGAACTCGGAAGGAACTCGGAACATCAAACTCAAAATTTGGAAGGAAGGAAGGAAGGAAGGAAGAAAGGAAGGAAGGAAGAAAGGAAGGAAGGAAGAAAAGGAACTCGGAACTCGTAAGGAACTCGGATGGAAGGAAGGAACTCGGAACTCAGAAGGAAGGAACTCAGAAGGAACTCAGAACTCAGAAGGAAGGAACTCGGAAGGAACTCAGAAGGAACTCGGAACTCAGAAGGAAGGAACTCGGAAGGAACTCGGAAAGAACTCCGAACTCAGAAGGAAGGAACTCGGAAGGAACTCAGAACTCAGAAGGAAGGAACTCTGAAGGACGGAACTCTGAAGGAACTCGGAAGGAAGAAACTCGGAAGGAACTCGGAAGGAACTCAGAGGGAAGGAAGGAACTCAGAAGGAACTCGGAATGAAGGAACTCGGAAGGAAGTAACTTCGAAGGGAGGAAGTCGGAAGGAACTCGGAAGGAAGGAAGGAAGGAACTCGAAAGGAACTTGGAAGGAACTCAGAAGGAAGGAACTTGGAACTCGGAACTCGGAATTGGGAACTCGGAACTTGGAAGAAAGGAACTCGGAAGGAACACGGAAGGAAGGAAGGAAGGAGCTCGGAAGGAACACGGAAGGAAGGAAAGAAAGAACTCGGAAGGAACATGGAAAGAAGGAAGAAACTTGGAAGGAACTCGGAAGGAAGGAAGGAAGGAAGGAAGGAACTCGGAACAAACTCAAAAGGAACTCGGAAGGAAGGATGGAAGGAAGGAAGGAACTCGGAAGGAGGGAAGGAAGGAACTCGGAAGGAAGGAAAAATGAACTCGGAAGGAAGGAACTCGGAAGGAAGGAAGGAACAATGGAAGGAAGGAAGGAAGGAAGGAAGGAAGGAAGGAAGGAAGGAAGGAAGGAAGGAACTCGGAAGGAACTCGGAAAGTCGAAAGGAAAGAAGGAAATCGGAAGGAACTTGGAAGGAACTCGGAACTCAGAAGGAACTCGGAAGGAAGAAACTTGGAAGGAACTCATAAGGAAGGAACTCGGAACTCGGAACTCGGAACTCGGAACTCGGAACTCGGAACTCGGAAGGAAG